AATTTATATTTACAGTATCCTTATATAATAATCAATCGTAGAGCAATCGATAATATGCTGTATTTTGTTAATAATAGCGGTTTGTGGTTGGAATCTAAATGACCACAGGTGGTCGTTTACTTAAAAAAAAAAAAAGAAGGTGATAATCCCGGGTTAAAACCTTAGAAAAAACCCGAGTTTTTTCCATTTTTCCACGGTTTGTCTTGATTTCTTTCCGCGGATGAATGAAAGAAAACAAATTGGAAAAAACCCGATTTTTTCCACAAACATTTTCGATTTTTTTTCGAACAAAAATTGAAAAATAAATTGATTTTTTAAACTATACTTGAAATTTTGTCAATTCATCTCGATTAATGTTTTCGTTTTATCGCCGATCGCGATACGTACTTGTACTGTGCGTCCTTATGGGCTTTTGGAGGAGAGTCAGAACCTTTTTGCAAATCTTCTTGAGTTCTATAAAGTCATTCCTAAATGTGTTGTAATTTTGTGTCAATGTGTTTTCACCGAAGCTACATCGGCAACGCGACGCGGAGAGACGTCATCTTTCAGAGAAGTTACGCGCGATTGCCGGAACCGTAAGTGTTCCTACGTGATAAAGCTAAATTATTATACTCGTTTCCTTCTTTGGCTATTGAGTAGGCAGCCAAGAGAATATCGCGGGGTAAGCTCTTCTCTCGGGGATTTAGCGGATGGACGGTTATATCGGGGCACACTGGCGATGGTTGAATCAACGCGGACCACCGCAACCACTTCAACAGACGTTTCGGCAGAACCGCGGTATGAAGCGCGTCTTCCATGACGTAAATCAGATTGATCTGACGAACGAGTTTCTCAAGCCCCAACGACTTCTGCAGTCCTTTGATATCGTGCACAGCTATCCCGATCATTAGATTCATCAGCACGATCGTCACGATCAGCAGGAACAGCAAGAAGAAGAATTGAGCTGAGATTCGCAGGAAGGCCCAGGTATGGTCATCTACGTCCGGCAAGTCGGCTTGGGAGAATGTTTCGTTAGATGTAAAGAAGTAGTCGAAAGTCAGCTCGCCGGTCATCATCGTGAGAATCTTGATGAAACCCAGGCTGAGGCTGCCGAACGCCTCGACGTGAGGGAAGATAATACAAAAGCTCGCAGTGAAGCCCACCAGAAGGCAGGCGTACAGTAGAAGGAGCTTGAAGACCTCGGCTTGCACGCTGGTGTACATCGCGACGTAAGTGCCGAACATCGGGAATTGGCCTATCATCAGCATCAGGTTGCTCCAGCCGCAGAACACGGCGAAGGCACTGAGGTATCTCTGCCAAGCGTACGTTCTGTCCGTGTACACGCACGAGATCGCGAGCACGGTCAGTATCAGGCACCACTCCACCAGGTTCTCCTGCGTGAAGAACTGTCGTACGGCAAAGTAACTGGGCAACACAGTGACCTTGCGAACGATCTCCAACAGGGTGAGTATCACCAGCATGACCCACTGCGTCTCGAGTATCGCGGGATGTCTCGAAAAAAAATCATAGATCCCGGATACATCCGTGCAGTAAGATGGCCTGCGTTCGATCCTGTGCGATTCGTTGTAACAGTTATGGGCCAGACCGACCATCACCCAGCTCATGAGGGCCAGCAGATAGACCAGGTAGGTGAACAACCTGGCGATGTAAAACTTTCTGATATTCTTCCACTTGAGATGAAGGAAGGACTGGCACAGAGGGTGCAGCAGGATCTCCTTGTAGCCCTCTTTCACGAACATGTTCAGATAACTGATCTCGCTCTGTCCACAACGCTCTGTCGGCAGTAACGGACGGAATTCCATTTTCAGCTCCAGCTCGCCAGCGACGAATCCTTGCCCCTGCAGGGTGACAAATTTATCCAGCCTTTGCTTGAAGATGTCCAAGCAAGTGGGAGTTTTGCGCAGGACGATGGATAAGGCGCTGGTGCCTTCCTTGGTTTTAGCGCTGAGGTCGGCCTCGTGCTCGATCAGCAGGTTAACGTATCGTGACAGCTCCTTCAAGGCGGCGATGTGAAGAGGCGTGTTGCCGAATTTGTCGGCTTTGTTCACGTCCGCTTTTGAGGTCAGCAGAAGCTTGACGATGTTGTCGCTTATTAGGGAGCCACTCAAGGCCTGATGCAGGGACGATCGACCTATGTTGTTCTCCGCGTTCGGGTCGGCGCCGTGTACCAGCAAGGCCTCCACGCACTCCAGTCTGTGAAGATTCACGGCTGCGTGCAAGGCCGTGTCTCCCGCCTGATCCTGCTGCTGAATATCCGCATTCGATTCGATCAGGAGGAGGACCACGTCCACCCAACCTCCCGTCGCGGCCAAGTGCAAAGCGGTCTTCCCCGACTCGGTGGGCAAATTTACTCGACAGCCCGACTGCAGAAACACGTTCAAGCATTCCAAGTTACCGTACAAAGCGGCGTAATGGATAGCGGCGAACCCGTTCCGGTCGAATCGGTCCATCTGGTGGTTACCCGGAGCTATCAGCGAGAGCACGCGCAAAGCGTTGGCACGCGCCGCCACATGTAGCACCGTCTCCTCGTCCTGCAATGACGCCTCTTGGATCACAGGTAACTGCAGGAAATAACGAGCGACATCGTAGGAATCACCGAAGGCGGCGTAATGAAACGGCGTGTGAGCTTGATTGAAACGGATGTTCGCGTCCTTCTTCTCTATCAAATATCGAACACCGTACAGGCAATTTCGAAACGCGCATAAATGCAGGGCTGTAAGACCCACGTCAGACTCGGCGTGGTCCACGTTAGCGTCGTTTTCGCACAAACGGCAAATGAGGTCATCACGACCGAGGAAACTCGCGTACAACAACAAGACGTTGATCTCATTCGGTTCGCAGGCCGCGAGCAACATGTTCGTCTCGTCCATTCCGCTCAGCTTTTCCAGATCCCAGAGCTGAAATCTGCAACCTTCTTGCCGTGCGTGCTTCACGAGGACGACCCTGATGAAAAGCTCGTTGTTGTGCACGAACGAGCGATCAATACCCGCTGGATTGACGTAGTCCCCGATGTACTTGGAGTGATCTTGTCGCGGAGATGGGTACTCGCAGACGTAATCATCCTCGATTTGGATCCGGTCGTTTTCTTCGCTGAGGAATGTGTCCATCGGGATGGAAATGTGAAGGTCCGGAACGGTCTGCCTTCCCTGTGGCGCACGCGACATAATGGAATTTTCTTCTTCCGTATCCTCTCTGTTATTTCGACAGCGAGCTAAATACTGATCCGATGCTGAAACTCGATGCGAAGATATATTATATCTCCGCCTGTCACTGTAATAGATTTTAATTGGCCATGAATTCAACACATCAGTTTCATACCGTATATGAAGTACGAGGGCGTTGGTTAGAGGAATATTGATGAGTGAAGTTTTTATGAGTCTCGATGAATGCATTCGTGTGCGCCAATATGCGAGGATAATTTTTTGAGATATTTTATAGGGATGTATTTTTGCAATAAAACAATCTGTGTATCTAATTATAATGCCGAAACTATTCCAAGTAAGGGAGAAATTTTTATCTTAAATTTTTAAAAAGTATGTATTTTAAGTGAATAGTTTAGCATGTATAATACAATATCTAATTGCTTATATTTACGACAAAATATTAGTATCAAAGGGGTAAGTTTAGACGAGTAAGTTTTAAAAAATCATATGTAATGTTGTTGCAAGTTTTTGATTGTGATCAGCTCGACCAAAATTGGTGCAGTTATTTGTGAGACCTCAAAATCTTAACCGTGAAATAGATACTTTTCTTGTTTAGGGAGTTTAATCTTCCAAATCGCATATGCACACGCACACACACACAAAGCGAGTAGTTTATATACTGAAAAAAATTATTCTTAAAATAAAGAAAATATATTTTGTTAAATATATTTTACAAACTTAGAAAAATATATGTTAAATTTAAGAAAAAATTCATAAATACAAAGCAATATTTTTTTTTAATATATAAAATGATTTGTAAAATCACGAGTTTTTAGATTAAAAAATAGAATTTCTTTGATTTAAAATACCTTTATATAAGAAGAAGCAAATTATTTCTTTACAAGAAAAGATAATTTTTTAAATGTAAAAATGATGTTTAAATAAATATCTGTCTGATTCAAAAGTAATCAAATGCAAATGAATCACTCTGTAAATCTGAATTAATCATTTTCTAATATTAAGGAATCTTTTTTATTTTAAATAAAAAGTTTCTTTTATTATTAGAAAACAATTTGTTTAGATTTACAAAATGATTTATTCGTATTTTGTTTACTTTTAAAACAAATTTCTAGCTCGATCGCGACGCGATGGAAACGCCGCGATCGCGCAATGCTGCCCGCTGTGCGTTATGCGCTTCTTCGGAAGCGCTGAAGAGACGGGAAGGAAGGCGAGTGAGTTTTCACTGTGATGCACAAAAAATATTTATTAATTAATTACGATACAATTCATTATATAATGACAGTCGCGTTGAATAAAAAAGCTAATGCGTGCGGCGTGTAATGCGAGTGGACGGAGGAAGGATGCACGGAAATTTTACTTTTTCGCAGACTATTGCCTTTAATTCACATCGGAAATTCAAGTTCTCGACGTACGCTTTGTTGAACGTCCTCATGGAGATCCTCAACGCAAGCGGCGGAAATTTCGTCGCATGGCAAATAGACATCGCACGGAACGGAATATAATGTACACAAAACCACGAAATGCACAATTTTGCGGGTCTCGTGCGGAAATCAAAACTCTCATTAGAGCGAACGATATTCACGAGATTGTCCTACGGAAATAGGCATGAGATTCGCTGTTCGGGCTGCCTAGAAAGTTGTTACACCGACGGTGTAACGGCGATCGCGTGTGGTCTCGGTGAATTGAAATTGACGAACCGAGACCTCGCGAACGCGATTCATTCATCATTACTTGATAAATGACCGATGATCGCGACTAATCGACGCTCTGTGACACATGAACTATTTATTGCGAGACATACGCTCTATTGATACTGGCGTGTTCTGACTCGTGACGACCGCGCGTATCCCATAAGGACATCCGTGGAATCCACGCGGAATCAATGTGGAATCGACGTGGATGTAACGTAGATATCTTTGAGGGGTAGCGAGCAAGTTTTTAAATTTGTTGGAGAAAAAGGTCGCGCATTGATAAGGAGATCTCGGCGCGACTCGCTTCCACGTGCCCGCCATGTGGCGACTCATTCACGGGTGCCATGCGCGTGACGTCCCCGCGCTGCATAATATTTCGACGAAAGCGCGATGTGTCAAAGTGCATTGCGCGAGCGCGAAGTTGACGGCTTTGGAATCTTCTGGATTCTAGATTCTATTCCAACGCCCCACAGTGTTGCGAAACGTCGAAAAAGTGGACATAAATCAGATTTTCGTATTGTAGACTCCATTTATTTCAGAATCGTGAGTATGGAAGATACATAGTGCATTTCTATTCACTGTTAGTTAAATAATAGTATTTTATCGCTAAAATGATACTGTTTTATTGAACAAAATGTTAAAATTTAACGGCGAAAAGTAAAATTAATATTAAATACCAACTATAAAATTGTAAGAAATAAAATAACGATAAAGCAGTAGTAAACAAATTTATTTGAAACCCAAACATAAAATTGTTTCTTTAAGGTTGACATATAGTTTGGGGTTAACATATAAAAAAATGCGTATTTGCTATTTTTTATATTAGTTTTACAATTTTTTGCTTTTTTATTTTTTGTTTTTTATTTTATAACAATGTATATTTTTATAGGTCTGTCACGGGCGAGAGGGCCGGGAGCTCCCGGTGGAGACAGCGAACACACCGTCCCGAGACGGAAGTTGGGAGTCCGGTGCCCGCGACTTTCACGGGAGAGACAGTGTACGCACTACCTCGGTCTTGCTGGACGGAAGGATGTCGAGTCGGCTGCGTATTCACAGCAGAGACGGCGTACGTACCGACGCGGTCCCTCGACCTGCGGATCGGGATCCGGAGCAGTTTGTGATCTTGCGATCCGGCTGACTACGGTGGAATCGGTGCTGTTCTCGCGGCGGAGCGGTTTTTTATACCGCCTCGCTGCCGTTTTTCCGACAATTGTTGCTGTCATCGCGTACACGTGTTGGATGTGTGCGCCGCGCGTGAGAATCGTTTATTGGCGCTGAGCGCCGTTTTGCGGCCGACGGATGGTCGGTCGGCCGCAGTGTTCGCCGGGGGGAATGCATCGTTACAATATTATTCTATGACAATAAGCGCAGTAATTATTACCTTGTAGATTTCGGCAATATACGTACACATAACGACTAACTATAGGCTACTTTGAAATGAACAAAAAAATATTTGCATTTAATCATTTAGTCTAAGCATTTTCCACTAAGATCAAATTAACTTATGGTTAATTAGTACTAATAATATTTATATTATACAGATTTCATCGAGTGCGAATTAATTACTCAATATTGTGTCGAGAGCGGTGCTTTGGTTGAGCTCGCCGGATTGCCGGGTTCGGTAGGAAAGAGATATACGAGGTCTGTCCAAAAAGTATTGCGAATTTTGAATTTCCGCGGGTTACGTATATTCGATTTTCGATTTTCACGGGTCGCTTTTGCACCATGATAACGCCCCTGCTCGCACATCGTTGCTTGTGCGCGAATTTTTGGCCAAAAACAACACACTAATGATGCCGCAGCCACCGTATTCCCCAGACCTGGCCCCCTGTGACTTTTTCTTGTTCCCGAAACTGAAGAGGCACATGAAAGGACGACGCTACGCTACGATTGAGGAGATAAAGACGGCATCGAAGGAGGAGCTGAACAAGATCACAAAAAATGATTTTTTCAAGTACTTCGAGGATTGGAAAAAACGTTGGCACAAGTGTATAATATCTGATGGGGATTACTTTGAAGGAAACAAAATAGATATTGATGAATAAATAAATAATTTTTGAAAAAACACAAAAATTCGCGATACTTTTTGAACAGACCTCGTATGTGCGTCTGGGATAGCCATTAGAATTTGATGAAAACCTTGGGCTAAATCAAACGCGGAAAAGTATTTTGCACTACCAAGTTGATCTAAAATTTCTTCAATATTCGGGTAATACGCGTCACCTATGGTTTTCTTACATTTACACCCGATATTCATGACGCGCCTCACTCGAGTTGCTTATCATAGCATGCGATTATTATGTTAATAGTGCATTTATACTTTGCATCTTATACGACTTATTTTCTTTGCAGTCCTGACGTCCACGAGGAATGTTTCTCAGGCGGGCGATTGTCGAGTTCAAAGTCCCAGTTTAAGATTACGAATTACGACGCGATTGGCCTTACAATTTAAGAAAAAATGTGCGACGTGTACTCTGAGAACATAATACGAGATAAAAATATTTAAACATCAGAATGTTCTATATGTGCATAACGCTCTTGTGTGTTTGAATTATTAATATTATCATCGTATTGAATTTGCAAACTGTATAGCGTCGTATTGATACCCTCGTATGTATTTGCCGCCGGTATCGTACACGGAAGTTCTTGCATTTACTATTCATTGAAAACTGCTTTCTTTAACACATTGCGCACCGCTAAGAAATCTGTAAGATATACGCCTGGGATCGCACGTTTCTGGGCAAACTTGCACGTTACTAAAATCGTCATAACATTTTTATTGATGAAGCACTGTTTGTCAAACTTTCAGAAATTGTAAAATAGTACGCATTTTAGGTATTATTGAAAAAAAAATGTTTTTTAATAATAATCATAACTTTTTTTACTTGAAAATAAAGTTTTACGAATGTTTTAAAAATTGTAAAATATGATGCATTTCAGGTATTATTAAAAAAATTGTTTTTTAATAATTATCGTGACATTTTTATTTAAAAATCAATTTTAAACCAAAGTTCCTAGTACTTTTTGACACATTGTTGACCGGCAATTTTACTTAGAATTTATTAAAATTTTTTTTTACTTCAAAGAGGACACAACTTGACGGGTTTTATTAACGAAAGACACAGCTTGTGATATGCCGAACAACAATTACACTGTATGATCTCCGAGAACGTACTGACCCAAATCGTGATCGATGCGAAACAAAAGCGCATCGATCACGTGTTTACTCGAGGCTGGTCAAAAATATGATAATATATATGTACAGACAAGTCTGTTTAAATTTCGCAATCACATCTATTGACTCTGATTAAAAACAGGAATCCGATAACTTAAAAGATAAGATTACACCGTACAACTGTTGAATGTTCTGATGATAAAAAAGCACGTGAAAGATAAGATTGCGTTTTCGATCGATATACCTGAAGTTACGTAAAATATTTCGTGCGATATCTCCTGAATAATTGCTCTCCACTCGTTTCAGCAAAAATTTTGGAGCTTACTTACAATCTCGCACGCAGAAGTTCAATCTTCTTGGCGGCGTGTCGCTGTAGATCAGGCAGCTTCAGGGCGAGGCCCATGTCCCCTTGAATCTTCACCTTACCTTGGAAGAAGGCTTGTTGCGGATTCAATTTCCCGGATATGAAATCCACGATGTCGGTATCTTTCATCGTGAACGTGACGTCGGGCTTAGTCTTCCCGTTGTACTCGACCTTTCCTTTACCGGCCTTAGCGTCCACGATCCAGAAGCCCTCGGCGCCACCCGGACCGTTCGTGACCTTGAAGCCGTAAACACCGCGTACCTTCTCGATCATGTTGTCCTCGTCCTCTTGCATCGCGATATGCAGCAACTTGAAGAGCAGGTTCGCTTGGAACATCTCTGGATTCGCGTGCACGTTCACATTCTTCCTAATTACCCCATTATCATTATGTTCCGGGAAGCCCAAGCGATAGAGGCCGACGATCACAGCTCCGCCTAAGCCTTGGTTGTGCTGCAATGCTAATTTCGCACCGCGTACCTGCCTCGGGCCAGCCTGTCCGCGAAGCTGCCAGCAGAGCTCGGTGCATTGCGCCAATCCGGTTGCGCCCAGAGGGTGTCCTTTCGAGATAAGGCCGCCGCTGGGATTCACGACGTACTTACCGCCGTACGTGTTGTTGCCGGAGTCCACCAGTCTCCCACCGTGTCCGGGTGGACAAAGCCCCAAGGCCTCGTAAGTGATCAGCTCGTTTACGGAGAAGCAATCGTGTAATTCCACCACGTCCACGTCTATCGGCCTGTATTCGGTCATTGTGAAGACCTTCTCGGCCGCATTCCTCGTCATGTCGTACCCGACGATGTTCATGATCGAGCGCGAGTTGAATGTCGATGGCAAATCAGTGGACATCTCCATCGCCAGGATCGCGACGGCTTGCGACTCCAAGTGATGCTTTCGGACGAACTCCTCATTTGCCAGAACGACAGCTGCCGAGCCGTCAGACGTCGGGCAACACTGTAATTTCGTCAGTGGCCCGAATATTCGTGGAGAATTCATGATCTGCTCTAAGCTGTACTTTTCTTGAAACTGGGCATAGGGATTGTTCGTGGAGTGCAGGTGATTCTTGTAGGCGATCTTCGCAAAGTGCTCGGGCTTGGTGCCGTATTTCTTCATATGTTCCATGCCAGCGTTGCCAAATAGTTGAACAGCCCTAATTGACGGCTTGATAGGGCACTCAGGTATACCAGCAATGTCTGCCATTAGCTCGATGTGTTTGTCCACAGGGTTCGTACGGTCCGTGAATTTTGATGCGGTCAATGAGCCAGGCTCCATTTTCTCAAAGCCCAATGCCAACACGCAATCCGCATTCCCGCTCTCGATGATCTGCTTAGCGAGGTACAAAGCGGTAGATCCGCTGGAGCAGTTGTTGTTGACGTTGTAAATGGGACACCCGCTGAGTCCGACCTCGTAGATCGCCCTTTGACCGCAAGTGGAGTCGCCGTAGACGTATCCGACACAGACGGCCTGCACAGCGTTGTAAGAGATTCGCGCGTCCTGGAGGGCCTTGCTCACTGCCTCCTTGGCCATTTGTGGGTAGTCAAAGTTATCCCGCTTGCCGGGCTTCTCGAATTTCGTCATTCCCACGCCGATCACGTACACGTTCGTTTTCTGCACCATCTTCATTGTTTTGAGATCGGAATTCCTACCAAATGGATACATTGCAGCCACTTGTTTACGCGTTGGAAATCTTGTCAAAATTTGGTGAAGCCCAAATAAGAGACTACGTACTGACGCGGATCAAAGACTGTTGGAGCACTGAAGTTACGCTGGGTAATATAAGCCATGAAATTAACTTTCATCTTATATAACTCGATATAATAGGAACACGATAATGACACAGCTGTTTGCAATTGTCACGAGCAGTCGTCGGTGTATGAGTCGCGTCGAGGAAGAGCGGTGGTGACAGAAGGCGCTCGTTTACGCGCTGTTCTAAATGTTCAAATTATTTCTGGCAAATTTTTGAGAGGCATTATATCAGACTGTAATTGTTTAAAGTTTGTATTATAATTTCTAATTCGTCCGAACTTGTTCGTTGTTGATTGAATTCTTCTCTTTCACGACGAAGGGCATTCGCTTGTTCCCATATCATTTTTTCTCATTCGTCTAATTGTTTATGCAATAATTCCGCCTCTGCCGGCGTTAATAAAGCACCCTGATTCGTGGTAAAAGCACTAGTAGTTGCAATAGTTTTTTGAGTTTGAGACCGAGTGCTGTGTAACATTTCCAAAAGGAATCGCAAGAATCTCTATGATCAGTAAAATCAATCGTTCGCTTTTACGAGATCCCACTTCTGACACCAAAAATATATCCCCTGTTACGTCCACGATAGATAATTATATAGGGCAATTTGAAAGTAATAAAATCGGTGACTTACGTGGACGGTCAACAGAGTGATGACTCCGCTTTTGGGTCACTCTGCTTTTCACCGAGTTTACCCTGGGTCTCCGGAGTCTGGCGAAACGATCAATCGATCCAGCGAGAAATTAGAGCCGCTCGTTCTTCTGGCTCGGTCTTGGATGTTCCAGCGCTGCGCGGGATGATGCGGCCCGCGATTCCGAATTTCGATTTCGCAACGTTCGACAAATGAAGGGTAAACAAAAATAATTGCTACACAGTCGGATTTTACGACTAATATATTCCAAAGTATATAAGTACACGAGAATTACCAGAGATTAATTACAAGAAAATAATCGCTTTCTCAATGAATGCGCGCGTTTTTATATGTCGCTTTGTTGCTGAGAGTCGTTTTCTTGTTAGCTGATGGAGTCATGGAGATGGAAGAAATTCATTCCATCGGTCGATATCGCCGCGTCGGTCCTGAGTGGTGTTTGGATTCAGTTTTCACGCCCTTATTTATGTAAGCAGCGGGACGCCTTATCGCATTGAACGATTACGGTTTCTCTTGTCTATAGTTGATCCATCGATTATAAGACTCTCTAACGACACGCAGTATTCGGCGTTATAATTTTAATTGTAATGTTTAACGTATGCTCAGCTGCGTAAGGGAGCACGGTTGAGCGGAAGAAGAGGGAGACCGCACAAAGCCCAAGAACAAAAACGGAAACAAAATTAAGAACCTTTTTCAGTTTATTTTTATAATAACAGTTTTATTTCCGTAGTAGGACAGTTTATATTAAGATTAAGATTACAAAAGTTTAATTTTAT